AAAAACCCAAATTACAGAAGATTAAGAGTGTAGCTAAAATAAGCATTGGTCCCTTAAGGATGAGACAAGGGAATTACCAGTGGGAAAAAAGAAAATTACCAATACTTTGAACAAGTTTTTTGTATCTGTATTGACAGAAGGCACAAAAACATTCCAAAAACAGTAGAAAATCAAGGCAAAAATAAGGGAGAAACTTGAAATAATTATGATCAGAAGGAAAAAAAGTACTGAGAAAACTAAATGAGACTAAATGTTAACAAGTCCCCTCTACCTGTTGCCCTAAAATCTGGGTTTTAAGAATAATGGCTACAAAGTTAGAAGAAGCATTGGGATAATCTAGCAAAATTCCCCAGATTCTGGAAAGGTCCCAAAAGATTGGGAAGCTACAAATATAATACCTCTACTCATGACAGGAGGGGAGCAGAAAGTAGGAAACTGTAGCCAAAATTTTATATTGGGAAAATGCTAGAATCCATTTTTTACAGTGGTGATGGCAAGATATTTAATATTTAAAAACAATTAAGCAGGATCAACTTGGTTTTGTTGAAAAGGATCGGTGTTTTACAAATTTATTAGACATCTTTGTGAATGTAGCTAGCAGAATGGATGAAGGCAAATCAATAGATGTAGTGTTTGTGCATTTCTAAAAGGTATTCAATAAAGTGTCATTTAAAATGTTACTACGCCTAGCAAGAGGTCTTGATGTTAGGAGTGAAACATTACCATGGATAAAAGATTAGCAAACTAACAGAGCATCAGAACAAATCGTCATTTTCAGGTTGTCGAACAAACTTAGTAGAATACCATAGAATCCAGTGCTGAACCCTCAACGACATATGATCTACGTTAATGAACTGAATCAAGGGTCTGACCTTATTGTTGCCTAATTTGCTTACTATTCAAAAATTGGTTAACATAAATAAATTGTGATGAAGATGCCAATTATCTACAGAGCTATAAATAGGGTAAATGAGTGGGAGAAAACTTTGCAAATGAAGTGTAATGTGGGAAAATGTGAGGCCGTCCACTTTGACAGAAGGAATAAAAAAAGCACAGTTATTTCAATGGAGAAGAACTGAAGAATGCTGCAGTGCAGAGGGGTCTGGATACCCTTTGAATCATAAATAATGTAAAGTTAGCGTACAGATACAGAAAGTAATTAGGAAGGCAAATGGAATGTTGGCCTTTATTGCAAGAGGGAGAGAGTATAAAAGTAGGAACATCTTGCCATAATTGTACAGGGCATTGGTGAGACCACACCTAAAGCACATGTACAGTTCTGATCTAGTTACTTAAGGAGGGATATACTTGCATCGGAAATAGTTCCGAGAAGCTCCGCAAGCCTGATTCCTGGATGAGGGAATCATCTTATGAAAAGGTTGAGCTGATTGGGACTGTAACAACCGTTTAGAAGGATGAGAGATGATCTCATTGAAATATGTTGGATTCTGGGGGTAGGGAGAACTTGACAGGGTGGATGTTGAGAGGATGTTTCTCCACATGGGGTCATTTACAACTATGGACAGCATTTTTTAAAAAGGGTCTCCATTTAGGACAGTGATGAGGAGATATCTCTTTTCAAAGGGTTAAGTGAATCTTTAGAGTTTTCTTCCTCCAAGAGCATTGGCATCTGGGTCACTGAATACATACAAGGCCAAGTTAGACAGCTATATTTTCTACAAGGGTGTCAAGTTTTATGGATGACAGCCAGAAAAGCAGAGTTAAGACCAAATGACATCAACCATGATCTTTCTGATTAGAAAAGTAGGTTCAAGGGGCTGATTGACCTAGTCATGTTCCTATATCTTCTGATTTTATGATCTTCTGTGGGTCAGACCTACCTTCAAGCAGAGAACTCCAGGAGAAGACAATAAAGAAACCTAACATTCACTGGATAATATAAAACACCTGAAGAACAAACATTAAACTGATTTGGAAAACGTTCAAATCTGCCACTTCTTTCACCATATGAATATTACTTTACTGGAGAAACACATCTATAACCATACCTAGCTGAACTGACAAAAAGTGCTCATTTATATGTAAACACAATTAACATTTAAAGGCTAATTCAGTAGCATGGCTGCATAAACATTTTACAGTACCTATTATAAGGTTTTAATTCAGCTACGTGGTACGTGGAACATTCCTTGTTCCAGTCCTATTCCGGCCCCCACCCACAACTCTTTCTCCGAGACATCGATGATATCATCGGTGCTGCTTCCCCCTCTCGTCTAGAATTGGAAAACTTCATCAATTTTGCCTCCAATTTCCAACCCGCCCTCACTTTCACCTGGTCTATCTCCGACTCCTCCCTTCCCTTCCTCCACATTTCTGTTTCCATTTCTGGGGATAGACTGGCCACGAATATCCATTACAAACCCACCGACTCCCACAGCTACCTGGACTATACATCCTCACACCCCACTTCCTGTAAAGACTCCATCCCATTTTCTCAGTTCCTCCGTCTCCGTCGCATGTGTTCAGATGAGGCCAACTTCAATAAGGGAGCCTCCGAAATGTCCACATTCTTCCTCAACCGAGGATTCCCCAGCTCCGTTGTCGACAGGGCCCTCAATCAGGTCCGACCCATCTCCCGCATTTCTGCCCTCACCCTTCTCTTCCCTCCCGCAACAGCGATAGGGTTCCCCTTATCCTCACCTACCATCCCACCAGCATCCACATCCAGAAGACCATCAGGCGCCATTTCCCCCACCTCCAGCGAGATGCCACCACCAGACACATATTCCCCTCCCCTTCCCTCCCTTGTCCACCTTCTGCAGGGACCGTTACCTCTGGGACACCCTGGTCCATACTTCCTTCACCCCCAACACCTCCCCACAGCCCTACGGCACCTTCCCCTGTAACCGGCGAAGGTGCAACACCTGCCCATTTACCTCCTCCCTCCCCAGTATCCAAGGGCCCAAACATACCTTCCAGGTGAAGCAACACTTCACCTGCACTTCCCAGAATCTAGTCTACTGCATTCGCTGCTTACAATGTGGTCTCCTATACATTGGGGAAACGAAGCGTAGACTTGGCGACCGCTTCGCAGAACGTCTACGTTCTGCTCGCAAAAAAGACCCTGAACTACCTGTTGCCTGCCACTTCAATACACCACCCTGCTCTCTGGCCAACATCTGTCTCCGGCTTGCTACAGTGTTCCAGTGAAGCCCAACGCAAGCTGGAGGAACAACACCTCATTTTCCGCTTGGGGACCCTACAGCCCTCCGGACTCAATATTGAGTTCAATAATTTTAGGGCCTAAACTCTCCCATGTCCCAGCCCCCCACCCCACACACCAGGCCTTGTTACCACATAGCCTGCCACTACACACCCCCTGTTGTTAGTCACTAACAGTCCCCATTAACAACTATTCACCCTCCCAGCCTGATCGTTAGCAACTCCTTTGTCTGTCCAACTGTCTTTCTCTCTCTTTGGGCTCTATCTTATCGTTTACTCCCTACCCCACCCACCTCCCTATTTTCTGCATATAAACTGATGTTTTCCCAGCCACCATCAGTTCTGAGGAAGGGTCACTGGACCTGAAACGTTAACTCTGTTTTCTCCTCCACAGATGCTGCCAGACCTGCTGAGCTTTTCCAGCAACTTTGTTTTTGTTCCTGATTTACAGCATCCGCAGTTCTTTTGGTTTTTTTTTTAAATTCAGCTTTCATTTTGCTCGTAACCTTTCCATTTATTATATGCAAATTCATTGACTGATTGCAACATGTTGCAATTTGGTCCTTTTTAAGGTTGTAATAATTCTGCATTACTGTTTTGAGATCAGCGGTTATATTGTGAAGCACCTGTCACAACCTGACCACTATGAGAGCTCAATAAATGTGTTTGCACGTACATTAGACAGTTCTCCCAGTTATTGTTTTATTGTTAACATGAACAATGTATTGCCACAAGTTTACAAAGGGCAAAGGCAAGACAATTGAATGCTTGCATTTTTTTTTTAAAAATTCAGCTCCATACCACATGGTAGTGATATACCACATAAAGCCAAACTCAAGGGGTGGAAAAGTGAAAACAAAGTGATGGAACAGTCACATGTCTTGGCCTCAGTTCATTCTTGAGTTCGATCTGAACCAGATTTAGAGTTATGCTACCAGTTTCTAAAAGCCAGGGTACAAACACAAAAAAAAATCCAAAAGTGTTAAAGGATTTTTGGACTTTAACTCAAGGGGTTGAAATACAAAAGCGAGAAACCAATGCTTCAATTGTACCAAGCCACGGTTAAATCTTACCTGCAATATTGTGTTCAGTTTTGTGCACCAAACCTCAGGAAAGAGGATCAGTTGTAGCTTAAGTCAGGAGTTGACCATTATTAATAGTCAAGGGTATCAAGGGATATGGAATAAAAGGCAGGTAAGTGGAGTTAAAGCATAAATCTGCCACAACCTAACAGAATGGCATGGTAGGCTTAAGGGGCTGAATGGCACACACCTGTTCCTTTAACTATGCCAATACATAGTCAAAAAACAACCTGTATGACCATAAAAACTAATGTAACATCAGTGCATTAACTTGCAACTTCGAAATTTATGTATATAAGTAACAATGAAAGCATAAAACAGAAAAGTAGTTCAGGAACATGCAAAACTTGTCAAATGGCTTGATCAAGATAAAGATGACGTACATGTTTCCACTGAAGCACACTCATAATTATTAAAACTCCCTTTCAAAAATGAAATTACACATTGGGTGTTCAGTATTTAAGCTTTCAACCGCGAACATGCGCTGCAGAGGTAATATTTTAGAACCAAATCCTTCATGATAACTGAATAACCTCCTTTTACGGTCTTCCTTTATGCATAACACTCAAAGTGACTTTGTCAATCGATCAAACCCGCACAGAAAACTCTTTTAGAATTTAGAAATAATTGGCCTTCACTTACGACCGCTAATTACATTCGGGTTAATATACTTAAAAGGTAACATGCTGCAGGCAACAAAATAATTCAACTTTGTAGGTTGCAAAGTTCACTTACCAACAAACAGTTTTACATCCCTGACACTGAAATCACTATCTGGTGTTCTGCGGTTAAAAGACAAGAAATTAAAATGTTTAGTCTCAATCTCGGAGTTATGCAAAAAAAAGTTTTGAAACACGATTAGACATGGAAAAACGAAAGGCTAGCTCCAATCCTTCGCCTTTATTATTAAAGGCACAGCTATTTGCTTTGTTTAGCCAATACGATATTGATTGTATTTTCAGCATTAATTTATAACTTCACATTGCTCGGGTGGACGCTGGCTTTGTCTAATCGGACATTTCCAACTCGAACCCAAGATTTAACTCTGGGCTCCAGAAAATCCAAAGGCTGCTTAATCGATCTGAGGATTTGACACCGTGCATCAGCCAAGCTACCGACATACACTCACTGACCTATCACTGCTGTGTTAACATGGATGTGAATTCAGCATGAAAAGAATAAATCTTATTCCTTACCTAGTTGTCTATTGTTACAAGGCGGGGATGTGTATTGAAATGCGATCTTCTGCTCTATGCTAACATTAAATATTAACATTTACAGAATATTAAACATAGGGGTGTCCGTGACAGAAACAGGTTCCTTATTATTCGGTTCACTTTGTGGCACAGGAAAATCGGTGTTAAAGTATTTTGCAAACCATTCTTGTCAACATTTACATCCTCAAAATAAATGTCCGAAATCAAACAATACATCTCTTAACTGTGTATCAGCCATCCTTAGATAAGGGGGCTGCCGTTTATTTTGGAGTTCCTTTTGTTTTAAAACGATACACCTTTGAAATGCACAGCTCAACGCCAGATCAACGTGCTGCTTAATAGGGGAGCCGGCAATCATCCCTATCTGTTACTACTCACAACAAAAAATCCCTTCGGTAGATGGGATGTAACGTTAATAACAAACTTTTGCTGCATCACTAATGTCCATGTTGAACGTGTCACCCTAGGGCCCCTTGGGTGTTTTAGCCACTTTCTTTAAAGGTTTTTCACGTCGGGGAACGAAAATGCTAATGGAGCGCTTCGTTGGCAAGACTGCCTGTGACACGAACCTTTCCCAAGTCAAATTTAGGACCACGAGAACCACGGCAGTCCAGATTACAAGTATCGTGTTAAAGTCCCCATAGCCCCACCTCAAAATGGAATTGTTGGTGATCTGCACCGTAACTTGTGCGACCAAGAAATGCCAGAATCCATTCGAGCTCATTTATTCCATCTTAAGCCAAATCGTGGCCGCTACCATCCCCGCAAGGCCTCGATTAGACAGGTCACATGAATATTGAGGCTGCTGGGATCATGGTTTAGGTTTGACACATCCGAAGATGCCAGTGAGAAAACGCGCCGAGTTATATTTTCCTCTCCAGAATCTCATTTTATTAGGGAAATGCCACATTCACGTGTATCAGTTTGAGGGTGTGGTGTACCCGGTGCACTTTTCTCCAATGGACATGCTGAGAAGTGGTGAAACTTTTAGAATTGCTGTCTCCGGTGAAAATAAACAGGCGTCAAGAAGTTCCCGTATTTAAATCTCCCTTGGCATTCTTCCGTGTGCCTGGGTGGGAAAAGGGTTAACGAGGCTATCTGTGTGGACTGAAAGAGCGTGTAACTCGGAAGGATACGCCACTGGAGATTCAAACTGTCTATCTTCACGGCAACAACGCCGTTATCTTGGTTACTTTATCGCTTTAATGTGGCGCTCTAACCGGCAGAAATGTGGCCTTAATCTAGAGATTCATCAAATTATTTAATCCAGAAAGTGAATAAAAACCTAATCTTGAAGGGTCCGTATTCATATCTTTGAGTCTGTTGCGGTATTAGGATTTCAACAGCAACTACATCGAATTCTAGGCATAAAAGAAGGGAGATTTATGTGGGCTGAGAAAGAATAACACGCTTCTGTAAACGTCTTAAACTCAGACTGGATTAAGGCCGCTTTAACCAGTATCTGGTCACGAATGAAATCAACGGAGGTACTGATGTACCAAACAGAGATTATCGATGGCATATGCTGTCACTGTTTAGGAACATTACTGAATAAATGAAATCTAAACATATCTATTAGAAAACTTACTTGATTCCTAGACCATCTTTGTCCCTGAAGATAATGGGGACCTTGATAGTCTCTCTCTGCACATATTCAAGGGTAAAATCTGTTGCAACATACAGCAAAACTTAACTTTAGCAGAGAAGCGAGAAAAGTCAACCCAACAATATGTATAGTTAATCCAAATAAAAAGAGAGAATGCAATCGCTGACTACTGGCACCGTGGTGGATCGAACAGGGATTTGCCCAGGATTCTAATTTTGCGCCTTTACATAACCCGAGTTAAGATCAACGTAGCTCTTCAATGTGAATCCGCAGAACCCATAATGCAGCCGCTACTTAACAATGCTTCTCCATTGAACTTGTATTAACGGCCTCATGTTTTATAAAAAAAATTGGCAGTTGCTTTGATTCGTTCTCCCGCCCTCCAGCCCCACGCATCCTCATGTAACGCTGGCCAAATCCCTGTTGGACCAATTGCTGCAAATACAGACGGTTCAGATAACAACATGCAAATTATTTAAAAAAAACGATATCAGCAAGTCTACATATAGTTATTTTATTTTGTGGATAGGTTAAGGAGAGTTTACAATCCACACAGCCACATACATAAAATTACGATTATCCTTTCTCATACCGCTGTATTTTTTAGTAAAACGTTTCAATGTTTTTTTCTTGTGTTTCAGACGTCATCTCGTTTCGAAATTGATTGCATACTAAATTTTTTTAAATGACTTTGATTGTGAGATAATGACGATAGTCGTCAAGCTCTGAAGTCATAGCCTGCCTTCACGGCGGGAAATTCGAGACTCAAAACAAAACCCACTGACCAGGCAAGCTGCAGCACTGCTGCTGCAGTCGCAATCTTGACGTGGATTTACTGTACATTTAAAAACACACCTCTCTTCCAATTCTTACCTTTTCCTTTCATAAAGTGCACGTAACTTGAATTGTATGAGGCAATACTAAGCTTTTCCTCCACATCAAAAGTCCTCATGCTGGCTATGTCATCGTCTGAGAGGTCCTCATTGTCATACCGCCTTCTACAAAATGTGCGCTATAAACAGAACAGAACCAGACCTATATGTAACGCTACACCAGTGTTGAATCTGCAGCCATTACAAAATTAGATTTCATAACGAAACATCGTATTTGTGTACTGGCTAGGTACTAAATTTAAGCTTATGAATGTGCACTTATTTTGATCAGTATCAATACGACCAGATCATATTTGCATATGGGACGCACGCATTGAATGGTGCAACAGGACGTACTTCATATGCAAACATTAGTACTAAGTACTTGGGTGATGAATTAGAAGTACCTTTTTAACATTATAAATGGACCTCATAAATCGATCAATTTAAAGATATTTACGACTCATGTATTTTAATGAAAGTAATCCCAACGCGGTCCTTTCATACATTTGCATTTTAAACGTGTTTATGTGCATTTTCTTTCCTCAAGATCTCAAAAATTGCAATGGTTGAAACAATTTCACAACTTGTGGTCCAGTTTCTAAAGCATGATTTTGTACATATTTTGTATTAGGCTCCTGCTGAATTCAGCACGTTTCAGACCTGCTGCGTGATATTACTGGACATTTGTTCAAGTCCGAGAAGAGATCAGATATAAATGTGAAACCTCGATGCAAACGATGTGCGAATTCAATTTGCTGCAATACTTCTACAAACACCAACGGTCTGACCGTCTTCGACTAAGTGGGGAACCTGGTCCGGGTAAACTCGAGGCGAACTTTTCACACAGCAACGTTTAAAATTATTTGAATATTACTGAATTATTTTAATACCATCACATGTGCAAATAAGGGCGGGGATGAGCTAACATGCAAAATCAGAAATCAAAAGGCAAAGTGAAAGTTTCAAGTCCCTCGTTTCTAAAAAGAAACTTTTTTTAAAAAAAAAGCGGCAGGGGTTTTGTAAACAGGAACAACATTTTGTTTTGTGCCAGATCTCTCGTCGCTAGGCGTCCGATTCAAGCGAATACGAGACCGAGTTTGAAAAGCACAAACACAGTCCTTCGGTTTGGGCTTTCTAGCCTGTCTTTTCAAAACAAAACAAAGTCACTCGGAAGGAAGGTGAGGGCAGGAGATTCGGGGAGGTGAGAGGAAGGGGGAGTGGATGAAAATGTTTGGGGGGGGGGCGGGGGGAGCAACTAGGCCGTCGAGCCTGGGTTGTAGGATGGAAGGCGGCCAGCGGGAAGCAGCGCTTCCTCCCGCAGACACTATAAACACACCAGAGCCACTCACTTCAGCCACTTCCC